AAATCGGCGAGGACTTTGGTACAACAGAAAGTGTGAAGTTTATGACCTTCGCTAGATTGCTCTGGTCATTAGTCTGGATAAGTATGTAAATGAACAGAGATAGGGAAGCAAATAACACAAGATGTATGTGGTTCACTCAGATTGGCTACGTCCATGAAGTAGAGGAATTCTCATTAGTTGTGAAGGGTTTACACAAATACGTAGGTTCAAGCTCTCTTTTAGTGAGTTCTAGTGAATAGTTTAGTACAAATGACATTAGGGATTATTGTGGGAGAATGATCCCCTTTTATAGAAAAGAGTTTCTAGTTTTGTTCTGATATTGACACGTGTCGTGTTGTGTATAATCACGTAAATTAACTGAAATATAAGATTTTTCTTTTTGGTTTAGTAGAAATTAATTATCTAATTAATTTATTCCATGCATGTATGATTTCACTGATAGTTATTTCATGGGCAAGGCAGTTATGCTGGCATGATATAGGGAATGAGATACATTCCAAATCTCTCTGTCTGTAGCTCGCGGATCAGTTATACTACCATATCTGTTTATTTGGATCCGGATAAAATACGAACAAGAGTCAAAGAAAATGCAGTGATTCAAATCAAGATTTATCTAGTACCCCAGTAAAAATTCATTATCTAATTAATTTATTCCCTGCGTGTATGATTTCTTTGATTGTTATGTCATGGGCAATGCAGTTATGATGGCATGATATAGGGAATGAGATCCATTTCAGAGCTCACGGACCGAGAGATCTAGATAGTTTAAAAGAGAGAGAGAAAGAGATCCATGCCATTCAAATTTTGGATTTTTTTGTAAAGTGGATGAATGAGATAGGTTAATGGAGGTCATAAGATTGAAATTGAGTGGTTCGAATTCTCATTCCGTAGGCTTCGTACATAGAGATTTGAAGTGGATCTCAAACCATGATATAGAAACTATTTAAGGTTAACCAATTCTTTTAGGCTGAAGGGGGGTTGTGTGGGGTGAGGTGTTTGCTTGTGTTGTGAGAGAGAAGGAGAAATTATGATGCGATTTTGATGTTAGCCCCTCGCCAACAATAAACAAGGAATTCTTTGGAAAAGGATCCTCATATATACCTAAAACCAACCCCGTGTAATCCAACTTTAGGTTACACAAAATCTTTGTTCACTGTTTTCTTTTTGGGTTTATCTTTTGTGTCAATATATGTTGAGAACACTATAACCCCACCCAGAACTGTTTAAATCTCCCTTATATTCCACCTTTGAAGTTTCATAAGATGTGTTCCTGTCGGCCAACATTTGGTGGGAGAAAATGCAACTTCCACCACCTAAGCTCAAAGTGAAAGGAAATAAGAGAAACTACTTATTATATTCCTCCACCCATGTCAAAGTTTGGAACATATGTAACTTTAAAGAAAATGGCTTTTGATACTTGATGATGCCCTTGTCGGCCATGATTCCACCATCAAAAGGAACCCATTTTCTTTATTTGAAAAACCTTGTGGAGTGTTTATATATATAGAGAAGAATTCTTAATTGTGCCTTGACTATTATTGCTTTTTATGATTGATTTCAGTAATCAAAAGTAAAATACAAGTAAGAAGCCGGGGAACTGGTAAGAGCTAGACCATTACCTAACTATTTGCGTGTGCAGGAATTAACATTACACTACGTAACACACAAGTGTATATATATGGGAAGGATCCATGACACACGTTTCAAGCTCAAGTTTGAACACAAATTTTAAACCATTACTTGAATCGGAAATTAACGAGTGGGGCAGGTCTTCTTAGCATTCTCTAGTTTTGCATTGACAACAAAATTCTAGAACTCTTTTAATTAAAATTTAGTCTCTCTTCAATCTCATTAATTGTTTTCATTAACTCTATCACTTTCCTATTTAACTCTTTCTCTTATTTTTCAGTTTTTCATTTTGTTTTCAATATTCTTCTCCATCTTGTGTCATTGATTTCTGTAAAATAAATACTCACCAACACATTAAAATCTATTATTTTTCAATTTTTCATTTTGTTTTCAATTTTCTTCTTGTGTCATTGTAGACAAGCAAATTTATGTGAATAAATACTCACCAACACATTAAAATTTCGATATGTAAGGAATTATCTTTATTAATTTTTAATTAATTTTCATTTAAATCAATCAAATTAACTGATTTAAATTAAAACAAATGAAATGAAAGCCAAATTGGGGGAGATTGGCCAAATCAAGATGGCTAAATTAAGGATGAAATATGATTGATTTATTTGATGAAGTAAAATCACAAATCAAGTCCAAATCAAGTCTTGGTTCTTTCGTTAACTAGTCAAGTCCAAAATCAAGACCAGATCAAGCTTCATTTAATCGGAGAACCTATAAATACGAGGCCCCAAGACACAGAAAAGTCTTCCCTCAAAAAACAGTCTCACACTCAAACACTCAAAATCCCAAACATTCTACACACTCAGAAGCCTCAAAAAGCTCTCTGGATTCTTTGCCATACTCGTGAAAAACCATCAAGCACCACTACACATGACATTCCTCTATCGCCACAAGTCAAACCTTGTGGCGTTCATTGGTTTGAGAGTAAGTTATTGCAACCCTCGGATCAACCATTCTACACACACTTTGCAACCCTAGAGATCGAACTGGAGGATCAAATTTTGTATCAGAGATTGTAATCCAAAATTTTACATTAATAAAAATATTACTTTGTATACGTATTCTTGTTTCATTCATCGCAAGGAAATTCAGTGTTTACATTCATATCTCTTGGAATGTGCTGTAAAAACAGAATCACGTCCCATATATAATGTTGCACAACTTAGCTAGGTTAGTGCTTCCAGGAATGTTCCATTTGACTGAAGAAAAAAATGAGTGTTTTTTTTTTTTTTTTGGCAGCCTAGCTATAAGCCACATGCCTCGTAAATTCAAATAATGTGATCCAACGAAGTTTTTTAGGTCCATGCTAAAGCTCATACTAAAAATCATAGGATTACTTTTATTCATATACTTTAGTATCTAATATTTTTTAGCAGTGTTGCAATTATTTTCGAACGCGCGGTTGATGAGATAGGTGATTTTGGAACGTACACAGACCATAGTCGACCTGTGCTTGATCAATTGTCAGAAAATGATGAGAGAAGTACTGAAATATGGTACAGTTATTTTGCATGCTTACCCATGGGGCATGCCGATTCTCCAAAAGTCGATCTGTTGTGCGCAGCTAGTTGCATCCAACTCGTATGCTTTGAGCAATTTCATGATGGACAAAGAGGATAGTTTTTGTACGTTTGTGCTATACACTCTGCGCCACCACACTCTCACTACTGGAAAAAGGGGTGGAGCTAGCTAACTTTGCTTTTGGTAGCCTTTTTCTTTCTTTCTTTACGTTTTTGTTTTTTTTGGGTATTTAATTATTATGGTTATTATTCCTTACAAAAATTATTATGGTTATTATTGTGGAGGTTGATAACATGAATGAATTCAAGTAGAATATCATTACGAACGATTAGGAAAGATTGCCAGTGGAGTACAGAGAATAATGAGTCTACATGTTATCTTATAATATTGGTACATATTTTCCTAATTTCTTTTTTGTTTTTTTTCCCAATTATTAAAGAAGCATTGCCATTATGATTTCATTCTAATAATTATTTTTAGTTCAATGATAAATTTTTTAGCGTATCGGGACACAACCTAGTATATACAGTAAGTGTAATAATACAAGTAGCTGAAAAATCTCTCTAGTTTGATAATTAAGTAACTAGCTAGGATAATCTCTACACATATTACACTATTAACAATTTGTAATACACACACACACACACACACACATATACATACCGAGGTGACTGTAAAGATGGAGGAAAGGTAGGTAGGTATGTATGTATAAGTAGTGATTAGAATTTCCTTTCTAATAAAGAAATAATAAGTTTCTTTGTTATTTGAATCTATAATACTTCAAACTGTACATAATAAGCAAGGATTTTGTTTCATTGGTAGGATTTTGTTTTGTAGTGCAAACAAGGGTAAAGGCAGTGTAGGGTTTACAAATGTTCAAACCATCCAGTATGTCATAAAATTCACATATTTACATCTCAATATATCTAAGAGTATAACCACTACTAATTAATTTTGCATCAGTAATTCTAACTTCGGAAAAAAAAAATTGCATCAGTTATAGCGTTACCTATACAATAAATTTTCAATGTGGTTGGATGGTACATCACATTTCATTATATAAGTGGAGATCAGTTTTATTTCAAGTGTCCCTCCACTTGTATAATGACATGTAATGTAACATCTCATATTTTTGAACACATTGAAAAATCTCTCTACATGTACAACCATACTTTAATTTGTTTACGTACATAACTCTAAATATATTTAAATATTTTTTTTATAATCATTATAAATTAGCTCATGTTAATAAGTAGTGTCTATTAAGTTTGATTCCCTTGATTAGTCCAACTTTAGACTTTATCATCAATTTAATTCTTGTTAAATAAGTATATACCAACTCAGTCATGCACTTGGTCAGTTGGCTGTGTAATCCGCAAGAAGGCGGCCTAAAGTCTATGAAAACTTGAACGTGCATGATTAATCTTTCTTTGATGCTACAAAAAGTTTTGACATTGTCCAAAAATTAGTTACGTGGATGTGTTGTGCAGCTTGTGCTCGTCTCTCCCTTGGTTTTTACTCTAAGATTTTTGTATTAATACAAAAGTATTATTGTACCCTCTTTTGTAGGAGAAAAATTTGCATAGCATATGAGTATATTGCTACGGTGGCATTTGGTGCCAATAAAATAAAGATATGTGTAAATTCTTTGAACAGATGTACTTGTTTCATTGCTACGGTATACCCGTATTGTGTAAGTTGTTCTTGTTAGAACTCATATGTGAGAAGTGAGTCAAAACACCTAATAAAGATATGACATAACATTTGACTAAAAGGAGATATAAAGTAATGAATGTTATACATGTTGATCAATGTATAATATAAGGTGAGAAAACTATAAGTATTGTACAAAATGATGTAGAGGACAATTATAAGGAGTTGGAAAACTGAAAGTAACTGCAACCATGATTGGTGGAGCAGTTACATCCTTATAACAAGGGTTTCGACACCCTTTCTTGGGTAAGTTACAAGGTACGATCATAGTGTGAATGCTTGTCCTATTGAGCGCAAGAGTTCCAATATGTTTCCAAGAGAAGGGAAGGTCTTAATCACATCTCAGATATCATGGCTTCATCTTCAAGTGAGTACCTTCCATTTCATTGATTGTAACTTGATGCATTTGCAGGAATTATGGTTAGTAATACTGCATGCATTTATTACAGTACGTGGTTCATATGCAATGTTGTTAACGATCCCTATATGCTTAAGTAAACATATATATACATCAAAAAGGCCTTCGGTTCTCCTTTTATAAGTGATGTACTCCTAATTGGACTTTGGAGTACAACGATATATTTTACACTAAGAGGAAGAAGAAGTTCGGCTAAATCACACAATGAGCAACCGAGACTTAACTCATCAAGATTTGTTTAATTAACATTTTGTTCAATGGGCTTATATCAAATGGCTATAAGTGCCACACACTAGCTCTCTCGTTCGGCTGAAATATATAAGCCACTTGACAAATCCCAACCAACAACACACGACATATTCAAAAAGGATTTCTCTCGTTGATCTCTTACATGTTTCAAGTGATGATACATGTAACAAATAACGAAAATTCGAACTTAAATCTCTTTAAATACATATTAAGAAGAAAAATATTACTAGATTAAAATTAATTGATATATATATATATTCTGTATTTAGTATCGGTACATAGACAATATCTAAAAAAAGAAAAAATAACTGCATAGTTTGTTCGTATATCACGCATATATATATATATATATATATATACATATTTTATTTATTGAGCTTGGATGGGAACAATGGTTTCTTATAATGTTCACACATGTAAGCTAATTAGACCATTACATATGTGCTAACATACTAAATATATATATATATATATATATATATAGGAAATTACAGATCGAACTAAGTAATAATGAACTTATTATCCCAAAAACCATTGTATGGAAAAAAATGCACGGTTATCCCATAAAAACCGGATGGACATGCATGCAAATGTGGAGTCGTTGCGCTATAGCTATGGCTTTTCTTTTTTTTGTTGAAGACTCAGTCACTGTCTCCAACTCCATCGCATATTGTTCATCTTCCTGACCTTTTCCATAACAATTTGTCCACAATAATTTGTCTGTCACGGCACTCAGAGCTACAAAATGCACGCAACGAACTGCAATATCGCATCAACAACAGGTTAATATTTCACTAATTAAATTATAATTATCATATTTGTTAGTATTACGCACATTTTGGCTAGACAATTTATGTATTATCATCATGTTTTAGCTCCCTTTTTTTCAAGCAGAAACTTGATTAATTTCCATGTATTAATTGTGTATACCAGGGAAAACATTTGTTGCACCAATTTCCCCATATTTTCTCAGCAACCAAACACAACAATCATTCAACCATCAGTTTCAAACAAGCACCCAATCCTCCCTCAACATTTCTCAGAACCTATGTTAGGGATATAAATATAAATATATATATATATATATATATATATATAGAGAGAGAGAGAGAGAGAGAGAGAGAGAGGGGCGGAGCTACAGGTACGCGGTCAATGGCGCCGGCATGGAATATTACCCTCATGCTTAAGCAATTGTCTTTTTAAGTTTCAACACCCTAAATTAAATCCTAATTTCGCCACAGTATGAAAATATAAATACACAGTTTGAATCTATATGTGAGAGTTGGAAAAAAAAAAAAAAAAAAAAAATTCTACAGCATATATGTGTATGTTCCGATTGATTTTCATTTAGCTAAAGAACTAGATAAGTAAATCCTAAAAGAATAAGTAACTCTCAGGGACGCAATTACAATTGCACTTACGTACCTGTACATATAAATGTTGTCATTCTCATCAAGGATCTTCTTACAGTAGTAACATCTATCCAGGAAATTTCCAGTATGTCCTTGATCGTTCTCCTTCATAGAGGGCGACGGCAATGTCATAATTGCCGACTGAGGCACATCATCGTCTTCGGTGAGAATCTTCGTCGGATAGCGTGGTGGCTTCATTTTCGTCCGCAGCTTCGGTGGAGGCAACGGCTCATTGAACACATTCATGTCGTCAAAGCTTGTGGATGAACGAACCAAGCGCAAGCGTTTCCCTGGCATGTTGGTGTAATTTACGTTTGGGCTTAGAGAGAAAAATATAATAGGGTTTGGCTTTTTAGTCTTTAGAGAAGATTGCTCTGGGGAGTTTGGTGTTGGAAATGGGTTGTATTGGGAGGTATATATAATCACAGTTGGTTCTTCAACTGTGATTACATATACATTTACATGTGTTGTTATATATTTACAGTGTAAGTTTCGTGTTATATCGGTTGCGAATTTGGCAGGTTTTATTTAACTAAGAGTTGTGATCCCTAGGTCAAACTTACTAACTCTACATAAAACTGTAAGTGTTAATTTTGTTACAACTAATAACCGTGGTCAAACAATACAAACTAATAAACGATCGAGAGGTTTTGTTTTTGAAAGGTTAGTATTATAGGTGGTAATTTTATTATTAGTCTAGAAATACACATTTGGACCCTTGTTGTTTTTTCTTTTTGTTTAATTTTATTGAAGTTATCTCTCTGAGTCAGAGAAAAGAACCAATATTTGGTCAGTTCCCCACCCAAATCACAATCTCTTTGATAAGTTGGTGCGCAAGATATTCAATTTTGTATATTTTTAATTGGCAGTAACACACTCACAATATTACAATTCTCTTATTCTTGATCCTTATAATTTTGGATTAAACATGCACAAAATTTGTAAAGAGACCAAGAAACCTCATTGATTTCTAGCTAACAAAATATGTAGTAAAGCATTAATCATCACTCTATCTAGTACTACAATCTAGCAGTATTCTTCATTACTTTTAAGTAGTAAATTTAGGATTCGACTCACATGAATGGTGTAGACTAATCCCCCTCCTCTTACATGTAAAAAAATCGTTGTATAAAAACAACATAAATTATCACGGAAAAAGAATGTAAGTTCATTAAACATGTGAAAGTTTTTCATATGATGCGGATTGTTCTTGTTAAGCAAAAACATATCTTCCCGTGATATATGATTAACACCAAAATTCCTTCTATTTTTCCACAATTCAGAGGCTGGCCCCAATTGTTGGGTACAATACGTGTCTATTACCTCAAGCTATTTTTTTTTAAGAAAAACTAACCAAAAGTTATCAAAAACTTTAGTTTTAATTAAAATGACAAAATAAAGGTATAAATGAATAGTACCAGGAGTAACTTTTCAAGATAAAAATGTCATTTTTCATTAAAAATGAACAGTACCGTAAATGTTGCATTAAGATTCCTTTTTTTTTTTTTTCTGTCACAAAATTAACTTGGTAGCTAAAGCCCATCATATCAAACAGATTCTTATTATGAGGCCCAAAACAAGTTGTAATGATTTTGGTTTGCGTTTTCCTCATCCATTTCCATTTCTCCAGAAGAGATAATTAAGAAGCATATTATCAAGGGTTAATTGGTACATTATTCTTGGTTATATAGGTTCTACAACAACAAAAACAATAATCAAGTCTTATTCTATTAAATGGGGTTGGCTGTATGAATTCTAAAACGTCAATGCGCTCAGTTTTATCAAATCTTCTATTAGCTCCAAATATTTCATATATTTTCTTATAGTCTCTTTCAAAGTATTCCTAGAACTTCCTCTACTCCTTGTTACTTGAGTCTTTATTTCAAAGTCGCATCTATAACACTTAAATGGGAAATGTATGTTCTATTCTTGTTACCAATTGAGTTGTAACGATTATGGTCACTACTCCATAATATAATACAAATTTCATATGCTCAAGTTGAATCAATCGATGAGAAAGTCAAATATGAGAAGATTTCTTACTCCCTCCAATCTAGGATCCTAAATAATTTATCAAGAGCTACCATATACTACTATTACTAATGTTCTTTTATTTTAAACATGTGATTATAATAAGCTCCTAATTAGGTTGCAGAAAACAAGACAATGTCATGCACATGCTATATATATTGATATCCTATTAGATCAATAGATGATATTTTTAATCTTTAATCTTTTACTTGCTATCGATATTGAGAAGTTCCCATAACTTACGAGGGCTTGTCGAGGGCATGCAACTGGCTCTCATTAATTAGCTGTTCTTTTCATATATTAGTGTCAACATAAAATTAATCTATATTAGAAGTATGAAATGCACCAATATTTGCTGTTGCGTGCCTTTTCTTTTTGAAATACAATTTGATCAACTGCGCGCTTGTTTTGTCATGGTTCATACTCCATGGTCTATAACTCACTTTTCTGGCCATGTTAGTTGCGGCAGCTCACGTGTGCATCGAATGGTTGTTTGAATCGTTGAGAAGTTTCACGAAGCGAATTTCGAATCTCTAAATAATACACATACAACAAAGGAGAAGCCCAAAGCCTGCCCTTTTAATTAATAGCAGAGGAAAGAAATGCTAAGAAGACTCTCTCCGCTAACTTATATTTTTGCACAATTCTTGTATCAATATTATAAAATATTGTGCCAAAAATATAAAGTGACGGAGAGTCCCACTTTAAGAGTTTCTTTAGCATTATCTATAAATATATGAATAATGCTAAGTAGACCAAATTGTTAGACCTTGGTCTCCCTGTCATTACCCTAAGCATATACAAAGTTTATTTAATTCCCCAGTATGGAATGCACGCTCCCAACAAACAGATTTAACAAATTTGTGAATGAATCTTAAAAGTAATGTATTCAAATTATGTCTTCTAATTAATGAGGATATAGCTAGGGTTCTCTACCATTACTATTTGAATTAACTTTTGGGTGAGACCATACCCTCGGTACGTATTGTAACAAATTCACTTTATATGTGTATATAATTATTTATTCTATCTTAATAAGAATAAGTAGTTTTCCAATTTAATACATGAATTAATAATAACATGTGACATTATATTACCATATAACAATTTCTCTTGCATAGAAATATTAATGCACAAAATCAGGGTGGACTGGAGGAATATTTCTTTTATATATGAAAGAGAACCAACACAGCTTTGCATGTCCATTCCCACATACTTGGTACCAAATGTTGATGCATAAAATCAGGTAGACCTTGAGTCCATCTAAAGTATGGTGTGAGGACTTTTGCGAGGGCACTCCAGTCAAAGGCAAGGTAATTAAGTATCGAAAGCACCGGTGTGGTAATGGCTGTCCTAAGAGCCTTTGATACTTAAGTTATCAAAGTATGTTTAAGGCGCCACGTTGGAGTTTAGTGGTAATATAATGTTGAATAGTAAATGTAATTACCCTTTTGAAAGTAGTAGAAGTTACCCTTTGTAGAGGTAAAGTTGGAGGAGATTTCTTGACTTGACCAAGATGGGAATGAATGCATTTAATGTGGTGTTGTCACTTGTCGTATGATTGGTCTCCAAGTTGGAGGAAATCTCCCATTAGTTATGCAAGGAACCATGTGTCATGGTTCTCACTTATTGTGAGGTTATTATGTGTGCTTCAATAGGGTGCCTCAGCAGGAACCCTTTGGCGAGGCTTCCTAGTTGGCTGATATTCGATGATTTTGAGGTCAATACAATATGTTACAAACAAGAAAGAGGAAAAATTATGTGACAAGAGTACTTATGATGGATGATTTTCTTGAAATCACCATATCAGTTAATTATCACATAAAATCTATATATTAAGAGAAATGTTATTGATACTTTAGAAAGAGTCAGTTTGCATTCTTTATAAGTGTATTTTTGTTTGAAAATACATAAAGTTTCAAGTGTAGAATGACTTGCTTAGAGTGTCAATAACAGCATCCTATCTTTATAGCTAACTATATAACATTAATTCGAAACAAAATTATTATTACATACGAGTTATTTTACTCGCCTAATATTTCATCACTCTCATTAAAAAAAAAAGAATAAATATTGCTTCAACAAATAAAAAAAAAAGAAAATATCGCTAATTGTGCTTTTAGGGATCCACAAGCAGATGTAAAAGAGCCATATATAAATGTTCAAACATGCATGCCTATGGCCCCATACATGGATCTAGGAGTGCAAACGTTCATTGCAAAAACTGGCATATACACACGCACATTATATGGGATAAGAAGGGTTGCAGACCCCTAAAAGGGTGGAAAACATAAGTTGTAGATAGTAATTCTAGATTGGTGGCAGATGATCGGATATTATATGTTTTTTGTTGTTTCCAACTGTATGCCCTATCCATAAGATACTCGAAATTCCATTAATCACCTCAAGTTGGTAATGTCAGCACCTTTTTTGCTTTCAAAACTATGATATTGACATTCTTCTTCTGAGAAAATCAGCGAACTCAATAAACTATGCTATCAAGAAGAAATGTCGTGGAGATTCTATCAAAGTAAAATTCTTCGTGAAATTTATGGCACTTTATGTTTTTTTGTATAATATTTTATATTGTTGATAAAAAAATTGATGTTAAACTGTGAGGTGGCAAAAAATCCATAAGGAGTCTCATTTCCGAGAGATTTTTCAATGTGACCGGAACACGATATGGTACACCACGTGTCTCTATACAAGTGGTAAGATTTTTGTGTTAAAATATTAATAACATAAAAAGTAAAATTCCCATCACTTATGTAATAACATATGGTGTACCATTTGTGTTACGGGCACAAGGAATAATTTTCTCCTTTGAGAGAGTCCCCTTAGCATTTCTCATATTTATTAGGAGTTGAGCTATTATTTATATATATTACCAATTAATTTTAAGATATTGTTACTGACACTTTAAAAATCTCATTTTGCACGGCTCACAAATGTATTTTCTTTTCTAAATAAAGAGTTTAAACCAAAATAAAATTTTTAAAATATCAATAATAATTTTCTTTGAGAGAATCTCTTTAGCATTTCTCATATAAGAATACATAACTAAAGTTTTTGCATTAGAGGAGAAAATCATAACACTCAAACCCATCACATTTTTTGGACTGAAATATAAGAATAGTCAAAGAATATTGTTGTGGCAGCATTATTACTTTATGCTTTTGATTGGACGTATCTTAATTTTAAGGGATAATTTGTGCGAGGTCACAAAATATTTTTAACATTAGGATTGAGTCCTTCAACACTTTATGCTTTTAAGGAGTGACCAAAGAAGAGAAGGTAGAGGTCAATGAAGAAAATGTTTAGCAAGTTGTATTGACCTTAGTTCGAGAGAAACATTGTTTCCATTGATATGAGTTAAAGAGGAAAATTGTTGTTCTTGACTTGTGCTTAAAATTGAGATGATCATTAACTAATTATGAAATTATTTATTAACTTAAATGAAATCTCCTATAATTTTGATTCATAATTTTGTTTCCATTATCTATTGCAAGCACACAAGTAG